ACGCCTCCTTCTACCTGTTACATACATTTCAACAAAACCATTATACCCTGATTTCTCATTTACATATGAGTCCCGGTCAAAACACAAAATATGTTTTAAAGAAAAAATACATATAAAATTACCTTGGTAAAGCCAATCTGGAACTCCGTTATATATATTATTTTCTTGACCTGTCATTGTTATTCTTATATCTTCTTCCATGGATGGAGATTGTCTTACAAATATATCGTTGTCAGCAACAATAATGATTGAAGTTGTGTTTCCCAGCCAGGCGGCATATTGAAGTCGGGTTCTTTGCACCTTCGATGAGTCTTTTAACTTCACAGGCATATGGTGGTCATTATCTACGTCATAGATTGTGTAAAATGCAGTAAAGGATTTCTGAAATATCTGTGAAATATATTTGTAATTTATAATAAACTTTAATTTATTTAAAATTAACTTGCCTTCTTTACATTGTGTCTGAATAGTACATATTTCAGATCGTGTGAGCATTCATATCCCCTTACATTTAGTTGACGAATGGTATGATTTGTAACTAAAATATTTATTGAGTTTACTGAAGTATCCAATAGGGAAAGGCCCCCATCATCTGATTGAAAGACATATTTCTTCGTTGTCACCCATGATGGCTGTAATCGGGTTGGCGTCAATTCACCTTGCAGATACTCATCTAGAATCATTCTTCGACCCGACCAATATAGTAGTTCATCCACATATCTATAAAAATAAGTTAAAAATAATTATAAAATATATAGGTCAGACCACTTTGTATTTGCTCGGCTCTTCACTTTTAAGTTCGGGCTACAAAAATATGGGAAACTGAGTTTTCTACAGTATTTGAGCAAAAGTTAGCTACTATATTGCTGATGGGGTGTGATGAGTATACCGCAGTCGGTAACACCCGACTGCAACATTCTTACTTGTTTTTATGCATGTACATGCATTTATATTTATTATTTCTACGTTAATGGTGTCGTTATTAAATACGTTTCTGTTGAAAGTGGACTGATGATTTCTATTTGCTTGAAAAATTATGACAGCACTGGTGCGCATGGTTGTCGGGAACAGATTTCAGTTTTTCTACGCAATTGCTTGTGCGTACATAGAGCGGAAGATCATAGGGAGACAGCAAGAATAAGTGAGAAAGTAACGCAAAAATAGGGTACAGCATATGTAAATATGATCATGTATATTTGAGCACTCACAGCGAGCAAATACGAAGTAGAAAATGCCTGCAAAAACTCAAGTGAATCGACTCCTTTACGCTTTGGCATTTTTATTAAAAGCCGTAAACTATGACGCCTTGAAGTCGCTTCAATGTAAACTCACTTAAGACGTTTTTCGCCTATCACGCACTCATTTACTTTTTATACCCTGAACCCATTGAAAATGGGAAATCAGGGTATAATGCTTTTGTTAAAATGTATGTAACAGGCAGAAGGAGGCGTGGCAGACCCCACAAAGTA